TTGGTGCCCCCCCCCCCCCCACACACACACTTCAGCGATAAGAAGCGTTGTTCTCCTCCTTCCATTGAGTTTAACAATCACACTTAAAATGAGCCATCTTACAGGTTTCAGGAACAATTGTCTGGCACACCTGTCTTTGACTGTTTGGCCAGTCAAATGCATTCTTGTTTTTGATCACCTTTACAGATATTAACTTAGTCTGTACATTATTACATGGATGGCCTATTGCACAGATAAAACAATTCTCAAAAATAATTTTATGTTACCACTTTGCTAATCACAAGTTCCAAATTTTATTTTTTTAAAAAGGCAAAAAACCCAATAGTCAAGGTTTGTATCCAACCTCCTATATTAAAGAGGAACTTTATCCTCATAAGGAAAATGTCACTCTTTTTCCCCCTTACCTTTGCTGCTATAATATAACTACAAGCCCAGACGATCCAACATTGTCCTTTTCTCTTGCACCGCTGTCTTGCTAAAGGTCCTGTCCTGTACCGCAATCTTCCTTTTTTTTATGTCATCAGCATGCAACTATAGCTTCCTGGTACTTGTAAGCTGGCTCCCCAATGACATAGCACCACATCTAGAACATGTGCAGACAAAGATCACTCTGCGCATGTGCGAGATATGGTGCTGCCTCTGTTTACATGAATGGGAAGTAATAGGATACCTTTGTCACAGATCCCTGGAGGGGGTAGGAGTAAAATGTAATTCTCGTCTAGGCAAGAATCAAAGCAGGGGGAGAGTCAAGCAGCAACAAAGAAAAAAGTAAATAAAAATTAAGAAAGGTCAGGTTGGATTTTTTTAAAAAGTGGAGGGGTAGGATTAGAATGCAGAAATGTTTACTTTTTGAGTGAAGGCACTCTTTAAATGATACTGTGTAGCAATGAAAATGAGTGTACAGGAGGAAAAGAGGAGCGGCGATTTGATAAACCTGCTCAGATGTAACAATTCTACAATGACTAGTACCTGCCTAGAAAATCATTATTAAATGTGCACGAAGCAGCAAATACATCAAATATGAGCGGTTTACTTGGGTAAAGTTGAAGACTGTTCTAATGCACAAGGGAAATTCGCTAATCATAGCTTCCGCAACAGGAAAACCCGTCTTGTGCTTAGCATTTGCTAAGTGTTTTAAGCTGGATAAGAAAGCATTAATGCTTGCAATCTCATACTGTATGCGGAGGTGTGGATTCCAAATGAAGATGAGTTACATGACCCCGCATGACACCAGATTTGACATGTACTGTACCCATTTAATCAAAAAATCATCAACTACAAATGAGTAAGAAAAATGGTTCACTCATCTCTAAAAGTAGTGACTACATAAAAACAAAAATCAGTACAACCGTAATAACACAGGTCTGCAATGTTTAGATATTTTAATAAACTAGGACTGTAGATTTATGTATATCATAAGCACCACAAGGTACATCATTTCATTTGAGAAATTTGTAAAAAATAAAATCACCTTTGTGATTAAAAGCAAAATTTAACTTAAGTTGCTCCTCATACCCAGCTCTGAGGAAGGGGAAACTCCTCGAAAACACATTCAGCTGAGTCAGCTTGTATCTGCTGATCTATAAGCATATTTGGATTGTTTTCTCCGACTGCTAGGAATCTGCATGTATCCTGAGATTGATGTCCAACACGCTTTTTATCCACCTCTTTTGTGAGTAACATTTATCACTTTTAATCTTTCTGAACAAAAAAAAAGATTTGCACCAGGAAAGGCGCCCGGTGTTTCCTTTTTATGCTCCTCATACTAGGCCGTTACAATGCTTGACTTAAACATAACACGTGCCTTGAGTTAAATGTCGAAAAGCAAGTTAAAAAAAAGAAATGTGCCAAACAGAAGAATAGTGTGTTGGCTTTTTTTCCCAGTGTTGTATTAAAGAGAGATCCTTGGAATTCTTTTACATGTGGACATGCAATGAAAGTAAACTCTTTTCTAGTGTGTCACCAGAAAAGAAGATATTTCCTCCTATTGGGTGCGATTTTCTCGCTCCTCATAAAGCAGAGGTAAAGCCAGAAACATCAATTACAGCTTCATGTTAAAGGCACTTCCGACTTTTAACAATGTGTCACTGCTGTAGGCTGGGCAGCAGGCATATATCAACAGTCAGGGGGAGTGGTTGGGAATGGAGAGGAGGGCTTAAAGTGACATTAAAGTATTTTTCCCCTCCCCTAATGTCCGTGTATGATGTCTCTTAGTTCAATTTTCTTCTTCTTTCCTGTCGTTTTCATCTGTCCCTCCAGCGCTGCTGCGGGTCTCCGATCCAGCGCTGACTCCGCTGTGCTCGCTGGCACTTCCTGTCCCACAGTGTGCACGCTGTCTATAGACTTACCTTGTGTCTCTCCTCGTCTCCCGGCCGAAAATCTGAACTGCGCATGCGCGCCCTTAGATCCTTTGCGGCCGCCCGAGATTTTTCAGATTTTCGGAGGGAGCGTGCGGCGAACACACAGGTATGTTTATGTTTGAAGGGTTTTTTTTTTCTTAAGTTTTTGCATATATCTACTGCCTGCTAGCAGTAGATGTATGCAAAAAAAACCTGAGGGTTTAATAACCCTTTAACTGTTGACTTCTGAAACAAAAGATGGAATTTACATACAGTAACAGTGTTGTTTAGCTGCCTTATGCTGCTTGTTTGGGGAAAAAGAGAATGAGTTTACAACAGCTGATATAGAGGATAATAAAAGGTACCACTACATTGACATTTTTAAGGATGGAGAGATTCCCTTTAAAGTATAAACTCACCTCTCGACAAACAGCTGCAATTTGTCCTTCATCCATACAAGTTTCTGTTACAACATCTGTCAGAGACCCTCCAGCTAGGTACTCCATCACTACCCAGAGTTCATCCCCCACCAGATAACTGTAGGGCACAATAAAAAGAATATATACATTATTGTAAGACTTAATGTAAATTACTTAAAAAAACATGCAATATTACAGAACAGTCTGTGACAGTCTGTGTAGTCTGTGACTACACCATTAGTCACAAGAGCGTGTAGGACTACTCTGCTCAACCCCTTCAACCAATAATTGATCTTGTAAGCATGAAAGTCTCTTCTAACCAATAAGCACATTATGATGAATACTGTATTAGAGGGGAAACAAGCAAGTAAGCTGGTTTAATGCTTTCATACTATGATGTAATGCCAACTATACACGCCTAGATTTAACTTGATATCAGTTGATTTGCCCATCCATGCTAAACTGTGGATGAAGGGACCTTCCGTGCCAGCTATTGTATTCAGATAGCTGCGAGTGACCCAACAGTGACTGCATCTGACTGGAAGCAGTTGCGGTTTGGCTGGCAATGTTTCACTCAGTTCCTTTGGTTTTCCAACCAACATTTGGTGGTGCTGACAAGACCCCCATGCCTTAAATTTGCCCTAAGCTGTTCATGGCTACCCTAATGACCATTTGAACAATGGTTTGTTAATCAACTGGTATTAAATTGATGCTGTCCTTATATAATCAGAGAGGTTATACAGCAATGTGTACATTGTTTTCACTCCAACCAGTGTCATCATAATCTTATAAAAAAACAAAATCAATGAATGATATTCAAAACTATTTTTTTTAATCAAAAGCCAGCCTTTTTACCTATAATTCAAACAAATATAAATGAATCGAACTTCCGAAGTCTGATTTACAATTTTCAGTTCTTTTAAAATTAGGTAAAACATATGATATATATAATATATATAAATATATTTAAAAAAGGTAAAATATATGAAACATGCATTGTTAGAAAAGTGTTTTTATTGAATAAAGGAAGCTTTATGGTTACATGCTTCTGAATCTGTGAAGGAACTGTCTTGGATCAGACATTTGATAAAAATATATACCTGTGCATGTATGATCAAAACATATTAAACTACCGATTCATTCACATACAAAAGTATTTGTCAATCAATATGTGTTTAGCTGGAAACTGGATATTATTAAAAGGAGAACTATCGGGTTAAGGATTTTCCCCATAGTTCTCCCTAGGGTAATGGGAGGACACAAACTAGCGTCCTCCCGTCACCCTAAGCTCAGTATACCGCGAGCTACAGCTCGCGGTATACTGAGACGCTGCAGTATACCGCGAGCTACTGCTCGCTGTATACTGAGACGCCGCAGCAGAAGCAGATCCCAACAATTATGTCTGGATCCGCCCAGCTGCGTGAGTGACAGCTGGCTCTGCCTATCTAGAGGCAGAGCCAGCTGTACCCGCCACCTCCCCGTCCGTTCCGCCAGTCAGCGCTGGCAGATCGGAGCGGGGAGGGAGGAATTCAGCCCCTCCCCCGTCACGGCAGAGAGCTGTGACAGGATTGAGAGGTGACCGAACGCCGGTATGTGTTCGCTCACCTCCCGATCTACTGAGCCGACCTGCGACAGTCTCATTGTCACAGGTCGGCTAGAACTATGAGGTGAGTGAAAAGCACTCACCTCATAGTTCTCCTTTATGCATCAAAAAACAATATTTATTTGTGCTGTTCAAAGCAAGATTCATGCCAAAGACCAGCATGTGAGTTTGGCCCCCTTCACAACAGATGCACTATTTTACGTAGATTCTGTATGAAGATTGAAGATCGGCTTAATGCATACATTTGTATTAAAAAAAAACATTGGGCAGTAAGCATGCAGGCAACAGCTAATTTGGCTCACTCTGGTCATCAGCTGGCCATAGCCGCATTCAGCTCTCAACAAATAACTTTGATGGAAATAATGGAAGTTGTTACTAAGTGGTCATCTGATCACACGCAGCATCAGCCTGAATGTGCCGTGAAAACTAGCGATCACAAATTTACAAAGCCACAGCAAAAACAAAGAGAGCAGCTAGCCAACAATAAATCCTTCATGCAGATACACTTACTATCCATATTCTTCTTTGTAACCCACAACCCTATAGGGTGTGGTGTCTAACTGCATGTTTTCAGAGTAATTTTCAAGCCTCTAGGATGCCTCTGACACGTCATAGAGTGAACACCATTATCTGCTTACTATATATCTGGAAAACACCTAAATAATTTTATAGATGTTTTTCAGGCAATTCAATGTGCCACCTATTAGTCTTGGGCATTTCAAACAAATGATGAAAAAGTGCATGTCAAAATGATAATTTCTGCAAGAGTAACGCTGGCCAAATACCAGTAGAATTTTGTTTGAAAAAGATTATTTTGGGAATTTTAGTTTAATTTTTAATGGGGTCAGGTAGATTATTGTTTTTGACCATAGTGACAACAAGATTTGAAGGAGTAGGATGGAACTTTTTTCTCATACAAATGAAATTGTAAAAGTGAATGTGGTTTTCGGTTGGGAAACTGCATTAATTCCAATATAGAATGTTAAAATCAAACACAATTTTGAATGGCATTCATCAAGTCTATGATGGTATTGAATGTTCTCATGTGATTTTTCGATTGAACGCTTGTACAAAAATCTACCAGTGTATGGCCAGCTTTAAGCCTGACCACATATCCTGAGTACCTTTAAAGTGATAAACTCAAAAGGCTATTTCAAATGCTGATTATATGACTGACAATGGATGCTGCTCCTAGATGTTTAAAAAGTTTTAGTTTCCTGCAGAATCATCTGGTCACCTGAGCACTGGCCCTGATAGCCTGTTTTAGGGTGGCTGCTTTCCCTTGGTGGGTGCTATAGAGCCACCCATGTGTGTGATGATAAGCTGTGAGTGTCTCCACAAACACACAGGCACAGCAAGGCAAGCCATTTCCCTGATCTACGCTCCTACCTTCTTAAAGCTAGTAGATGCACAGCCGCTGGAGGCAGTGCCATTCTTGTGATCTTGTACTCAAGGGGGAGTTCAGGGAAGCAGAGCTGAGGAAGTTGGAGGCAGCTGTTCAGAAACATGAGAGTGCTTCGCCAAAAATTTAAAGAAATACTTTGCTGGGCAATGTATTTGTTTAATCTGGATTCATTATTGAAAAAAGTTTGAGAGTTTAATACAACTTCAATTAAATTGATTCATTGATCAATACAAAGGCTTGGGTGTTGGGTCAAGCTTGACTTTCCCAGAAAAGTCAGGATTTTCATGCAACTTTTCCACTTAGATATCAGAACTGCTGATTATTCTGAGCTCTTGAAATTTATTTTTCTGCATATGCTTGGTTGGCATTGCCCAGGTTTGTGGCAGGTTTAACAGTTATCAACATAAATTCCTCCTCATCATTGACAATACATGTGTTTTCAATCAGACTATGCAAACAGAAATGAGGAATGCAAAGTGCAGCAACCAACAGAAACCCAAATCAAAAGTTATATCTTAACCAAGATGACTTCAGCAGTCTAGTTGCTATGGATTACTGCACATCTGAAAAAAAACTTGGTAGTGATCTTTTCCAGGAATATACATAAAAATGTAATAAACTGTACAGTTGCATTTCTATGAAAAAACATTACTGGGTGATAATCTATTGCTGCATACTGCCTAAGTTATTAAAAATGTGTGTACTTAAGTGTTCGCTTAAAAAATACCTGCTTTAATCAGTCCTTAGCCAATACATTACAACACAATACAGATTCCTTCACAATAGGGCTTAGTGTTCTAGAAAGGATTGGTGCAGCGGTCAAAACTTGGGAGTGTAAATAGTAATGCATGCCTGAACAATAATACAATGGTCTAGATACGTATGTCTTTTCTATTGCTTTGTAACATTATTAGTTACTATAAATCGTGTACTGCTTGACTGCCAATTCACAACCAGCCACAACGTATAAGCAAATAATTCTATGGAGAAATACCACTCACCTGTCTAAATAATTCACAATGTTAGGATTTTTATTTTCCCTCATGACCAGGATCTCATTAATAATTAATTCTTTTTTGGGCTGCTGCTGCAGGTTCATTTGCTTTATTGCTACCTGAAAAGGAGAAAATGACACAAGACTGTATTAAATGCCCCTCATAAAGCCGCAATATCATGTAAGGCTCCTTAAAGCAACCCTTTATTTTGCAGTGTTTACAGAACCTGCTGCCAAATGTGAAATATTCAGATTGTGACACAACTCAATACAATACAATACAAAATATGTACTCAAACCGAGTTCTCTTTGCTAGGTGGCAACATCTTGCTTCTCACCCAATGGAGACACAGGCTATCACTTACACATTAAAATACATCTTGTGATGTCATGGTCACTGCTCTCTGCATACATGGCTGGGGGCATTTGGTTAAAGATAGAAATGAGAGCTTAGCTGGTGATTTTTTTGGGGGAAAAAAAAAGGTTGACATTTTCATATCTATACCAGCATGAATAAGGGCCAGTTCACACTATGTGCTGTGACTGGCCTTTTTCCAAACCAGATTAATGCCAGTGACCACTAAAGCACATAGAAAACAAATGTTTCCTATATGCCCCATTCACACCACAATGTAGGTATGATTTGCAGTGGCAGTTTACTGTGCAGCCAGTGTAAATGAGCCCTTCTGTAAAATTTAGCAGAAAGCATGATTGCACTTAAAACAGCTTATTGAGCAGAATGTCAAAGTACTACTATGTTTGCATGCTTGGGTAATGGAAGGGTTCACTTAACATGCTACAGTGGCTTATCAACTAATATTATTGTATGTCATTTTAGAATGCCTTAAATCCAAATTAGATATACTTAAAGTGCTACTGCAGCATGACGGATCCTGAACCAATGTATCTTAAACTGGGTTTTATATAAACTATTGCAAGAACATTTATCATGCAGTGTCTTACCCCATGATTCTGCGCAAGAAAACCCAACCCTCTGAAAACTGCATACAGCAGAGTTGTAACTAGAAAACACTTTTGTTTCTGCCGGCTTAAATTCAGGGCTATTAAGAATAAATATATACCGGCAGTTATAGGTGTTTAGCAAGCAGGACAGCCAGCTTCACCAGTTCAATGCCAGTGTAAAAAAAAGCCACTCGGTGAAAAATCTTCATGTTTACCAAACCATAATTTTAATACATTACATTGCTAAAATAAGTCATGAATATTGAAGGATTGCGAGATCAGTATATAAACCACATAACTTGTGGGAAGCACAACAATGCACATTGTATGTAGCGGAAATAGATGAGCAGTGGAAAGGTCCAGAACAATTTAGTATAAAAAGGTTTACATTCTAGCCTACCTCTTGGCCTGTAGCAATGTCTATAGCTGTGTACACTGTGCCAGATGCTCTGCAAGACACAAAGATCATAAGAAGGTCAAACAGCGGAAATTAATGGAAATAAATGATTATCACATTTATGAGATCTATAACACTAAATATAGAAAAAAAAAAAAACATTGATAAATCACATTAAAGTGACACTATACACAGGAGTGAAATCTTAACAATGCATTCAAGTATCCTAACTATTAACAGAAATGTGGCTTATTTGTATATCAATCGGCTGTAGATGCTCAAATCATCTCTGACACTGTCCTTCCTTCAGGAGGGTGGCTACTTTTGTTACCCATGGTCCTTGTGAATATTGTAAAGTAGCCAAAGCTCACTCACATTATAGACTACAATCTAACAATTGGTCTACTAGTTTGTATTGCGATTGTAGTCCATGACGGGACCAAGCATGGAGCGGTGGCTACTTTACTGCAGTCACTAACAAATCTGGCACAAAAAAAAATGCTGAAGTGATTTTAGTGGTTCAGCACTTGACCCCCGAGTATAGAGTTGGTTCTGTTGTTGGTCCATTGACATTATTCCTTCACTGGTTCTTTACACTTTAGCTATATGTGATAGATAATTACGGCCTGAAGGTGTTTATAACCGAGGGCTGCCATTTAGACCAGCACTGGAATGCTTAAAACACCCTGATGACCTCATATGCGTGAAACTGTATTGGGTAGGGCTGCAATAGATAAACTATGATTGAGAAAATATTAGTTGCTTGATCCTTAAGGCTCTAAAGACACTGACCCACGGCACGTATGTAGGAATTCTGATTTTCCTGACTTTAGTGGCGGCATGTTTGCTCCAGTCCATCCAGTGACTCACAATTTATCGAGGCCAGACATTGTTAAGGAACTATTACTGGATAAGGACAGGTCCATCATGACAGTAAACCTCAATGTTTTAGACCACATTTGAGTATGCAGCCAAACTATGCCATGTCCAATGACGCAATGCTGTTCATGCCCTGACATCACTGCCAAATCTATGTAGCAGCTGGAGATGCCAGACTGCAGTTTCAGGCCTGCATTATGGCCAAAGCTGTCATATCTAGACATGCACACAGGAGATGATTGAGGGGAAACAAGAGAAAAAAGTGCTTTCTCTACTGACATTCATGGGCTGCCCACTGGAATTCTATGCAAAACTACTGAATTTCAGAGTCTATGGGGCAGCCGTCAGTGACTAATCAGTCACTGCAGGTAATGGGAATCAACAGGATGATTTAATCGAAGTGTATCAAGTTTTTGCTACAAAACGTGATATTCTTAATTTTTAGTTCTTCTTCGAGTCCTCGTTCTCTTCAGAAAATGTGAGCTAACTTATACCTTACAACACAAGTGATTAAAAAGGAACACACTAGTCGTGTGAAAGAGAGGACAGGCTACTTGTATTGTTCTGCTCCATTAGTTCCATCAGCTGTAATTTCTCCACTAGGAGGCAGCATATAACCATCATTAATGTGGTGTACTATACAATGAACGATAAAACTCATGTATTAAGCATTTCTGCTCACAAGCAGCGATAACATTAGAGCTGCAGCTAACGATTATTTTCAAAATCGATTAGTTAGTCGATTATTAAGTTCGATTAATCGGTTAATCGGATAAACTATAAAATAAAGTTTAAAAAATGGCTCCAGTGATGGGACTACTAGTTTGTATTGAGGTTGTAGTCCATCACAGGAGCAAGCTTGGACCGGTGGAAGTAAAAAAGAAAAAAAGATAGTGTGGTGTGCAATATAGTGAAATGGAAAGTGTAAAATTATACAGCAATGCATGCAGAATGGCAACGGTTATAGAGGACTACAAAACCCAGCAAAAGCACATTATACAGCACAATGCAGAATACCGCCAGCTATAGAGGAATACAACAAATCCCAGCAATAGTACATAATAGCTGGCGGCATTCTGCATTGCGCTGTATAATGTACTATTGCTGGGTTTTGTAGTCCTCTATAGCTGGTGGTATTTAGCATTGTACCACTTTATAATGTATTATTGCTGGGATTTGTTGTACTCTTCTACAGCTGGTGGTATTCTGCATTGCGCTGTATAATGTATTATTGCTGGGACTTGTAGTCCTCTATACAGCGCAATGCAGAATATCACCAGCTATAGAGGAGTACAACAAATCCCAGCAATACATTATACATACAGTGTATAATGTATTGCTGGGATTTGTATTCCTCTGTATAATATACAGCACAATGTACCATCAGCTATAGAGAAATACAAATCCCAGCAATACATTATAGAGCACCATGTGTGGGAAAGTGCAGTCTTCCAGCAACGTGCTTCTGAGATCGGACCTGTCTATCAGCAGCTGCCATACCCCCACACCTGCTCCTCTTTACTACATCTCCCCGCGTCCCTGTGCCGATCGTGGATGTGGATGGGCAGGAATATGAGGCGGGGAGGAGGTGCGACGTGTGGAGCGTGGATGCGAGCGGGTCTGGCAGCGGCGAGCGTGAGGTGGGGAGGAGGTGCGGTGCACAGCGTGTGGAGCTGTGAACAGGGCCAACTGATCAGAAGCCGATTAATCGATTATTGAAAAAGTTGACAACTTTTTCAATAATCGATTATAATCGATTATGTCGATTAGTTGTTGCAGCCCTAGATAACATTACAGTAATTTATTTTCAGTACCAAGAGATCATTGGTATTAAAAAAAATGACAAAGATGGAAAGCACCTTTGAAGAAAAATGGCATCCAACACAAAATAGATTTCTATAGAAGCTCCATTTTCAGGAAACGTTACACCCTAAAGGCATTTTTATCAGGTGTCAGGTCTTTGTTTTTTTATAGTTCCAGGGACTCCTAAAATCAGTTTATTGTACACACCTGCCATTCAATGTCTAGGTAGAAACCAACATGCTGAATTACTAAATATGTACTGGGGCAAAAGTAGCAATGAGTAAGCAAAGAGACATACACACTGACTATTCAACCAGTAAAGTTCAAGGAAAAGACAGCTGCTCCACAGTTATTTGTAAGCAAATCTAGGAGGGCTTTAACCCTTTTGCTGCAGACTCCTGGCGGTACTTTGTTTACATGTGTAAAGCCGACTTGGGCCTGGCACCGTCATCACTTCCAGTCCCTCAGCTGACATTGCTCGGCTACAGAAACAGGGCAAGGAACTATTGGAGTGCAATCTGCACTCCAATAGCTTCTTTGGAGTGGTAAAGTGACACTGGGGCAATAAGCTATTTGGAGTGGAAAAGTGACAATTGGGTTTTAATTGACCTCTAATGTCACCTTAAAAAGTACCTGTCACCACTATTATGCTATCAAATATGGCCCTGCATAAGGCATGAGTGGCCCCGAAACCTCATTGTGTACATGCATCAATAAAGAAGACGTGCTTGGACACATTAGCAAGGTGTGCTGGTGATATGCCTGCTTTCTCATATTGTGATTTTGGGCACTAAAATTAACTTAAGTGCATTTTTTACAAGATTTGATTATTATGATAAAGAGTTGTGCTAATATCATGCGACCTTAAAATTGCACCTGCACTATTTTATTCTACAAGGTCTTTGCTTTCAGAAAATATAACGTTTGGGGATTTGAAGTAATTTTCAGGCCTAAAATGTGGATTATAACGTGTGCAAAAAATGCCTTGGCAGCTTAATATACCCTCCTCTCAACTGCTGGGTCAGTGTTTGTCAAGCTGTTGTCCTCTAATAGTAAACAGACAGTGAGCAGGTCCAGGGTAGCAAGAAAGCCCCCATCCCATTGCTGATTTCAGAAGTACTAAACACTCAAATACATCAGCTGAATGTGCAAGAAAAACAAACACTTTTGGTAGACAATAGGTACTGTGATGGTTATATTTACTCGAAAATGTGAATGACGTACAGTGGTTTATGTCTCAGAGGAAAGGATTTGCGTTACACACACAAGCTCTGTTTTTGGCTGCATCTCTTGGATCCCTGAAACTGTTGGTCTTTTGGAGCCAAATCCATAAATATGTTTCAAGATCAATACTAAATATATGCCTTGGCTGTCTCACAGAACCTCATTACCTGTTTTACCCTGCCAAGGAACCCTGCACATGGAACCATGCACATGGAGTGATACAATAAAGAGTCAGATGATGCAGCATATGAGGCCAGACAGGGGACAGTAATGGCTAAAAGAGATAGATTATAAGACACACAGTGATACATGCAGAATGAGAATCGCATGACATCAATGGCCAGAATGATAATGGAATCATATGATGTATGAAAATCACAAAACAAGTACAGTCACTTCAGAATGAATGAGTGTCAACAAGCAGTCTAACATTTGCCACTTTACTTATTTTTATCTGTTTTCCAACTTTTTTTTCCAGTCACAGGTTAACTGCACCAGGTATTTTATGGAGAAGGCTGAAATTAATGTGGCATGATATCAGAAAATGCTGTGCTTGTAATGCATCTATATTGCAATTTAAAGTGATGTGCCAAGTTCTTTTAGCTTGGGGCACCCCCTGCCTACAGAGTCAAACCCACAGAATTTATGTTGGAAGTTTTGCCATACTCACCCTTGGCCGATCTTTTCAAATCGCGTGTATTTCTTTTTAGGATCACCTACGCTTACAATGCTTCCTGTAGCATTAAAAAAAAAAAAGAAAAGGAAGAGGAAGGAATTAAGAAGGTGAAATATCATCAGCACATATGTGCATTTGTTTATTCATAGGCTCTAGAACCCTATGTTTGATCTGGGTTTATCTGATGACAAACTTGTTTACTGCTTTTAAATGTAAATCCCTTATTACAATAAGGCACCATTACTTCTGGATCACATGCTAAACTTACAAACATTAAAATATATTTACATTTAATTCAATGCACAATGTTTCCTATCTATTTAACAAAACTTTCACCTAATGTTTTTACACAAGACTACCTATAGCTGCAGAATAGCGTTTGAGTATCAGGGCCCCCCAATACTGTCTTAAAAATGCATGCTCACCCGCTATAGGCTTGTATAAGTTTTGACCTAGTACACCACATTTATTCCACTATAATATCAAATATGTTCCCTTTACTTCCGGTCAGGACAGAAAGTGATGGAAAAACACTCCCCAATAAAGACAAAGACGAAAACACATTTTTAGTAGCATTTGGAAAGGAAAGAGTAAGATCTTTGGACAATGTTTTTATTGCCGTCTATGACTTCCTGTTTCAGTGCTGAATGCACTGCCCACTTCTTTTTATGGTCATCACAGGGACAGGAACCAAGCGAAGATCTCCCCAATATTGTCACAGACAGAAGTAAAAACCTGACTTAAACCGTATCACTTTCGCACAAAAGAAATGACTGGAGAATACTTTTAAATAAGTTTGGTGACAGATATACATTGTTGCATTGGTTACCAGGCTCTGGGATTTGTCCAACCCTGCCATACTCTAATGATTTGGCACGTTAATGTACACTTGTGCCACGGTTATGGACAGTAAAGTATTTACAAATTCTTAGCCAGCAGTAAAAGAGCTTTAAAAACAAACAATTTCTAACATTTAGCAATCTAGCTTGTACTCTAAATTAACTCTAAAAGATGCTTAAAGATCACTTGGACTTTAAAGTGGAGTTTCAGTCAGTTTCTAACAGCTTAGAATCAACTGATGTGTTTACATTAGAAGCCTGGCAGGCTTTCAAATAATCTTTTGCATTAGAAGGTAATAAGAAAAGAGCTGAGATTTCAGAGCCTCTGTTGTGAACATTGGAGATGTAATTCTCCACAATGCCTACAAGTACAGCGGTGAATTAGGGCTTCTTTTACAGTGATTTTACTGCTTGTTTAGAATATGTTAACACTTTAAAATGCATAGTCCGACTTCAGGTCTACTTTAAACTAAAAAAAAACAAAAAAAACAGCAGACATCATTATCTCAGGTTCAAAACTAAGAAAAGAATCATACTTAGTTTCTCAAGAATTTCCTCATCTGTCATCTTTGATTTCTTGCGCTGCCGGTCAGTATTCCTGTACAAAGTGCTCGTGCTTGAGTTCTCTGGCTGGGTAGTCACTGGAGAAGTAGAGGCTTCTTTGGCTGGAGCAGGAACAGCCACAGGTTCAATGACAGAACGAGTATATATCTGCATAAACAGGACAATGAACAGGAAATAGTTAGGAGAATAACTGCTAGGGATGAAAGGGTTTTGTCCAATTTTTTTAATGGACAGTTTAGAAAATGAAGATAAATACATAAACTGTCCCCTAAAAGCATTTCAACATAAAATGAATAATATGTGACATTATACACAAATCACACATTAAAAAATAAATTTAGTAAAATATTAGTATGAAAAAAAAATGATATCTTTATTCTATTTGCCAAAAGCATTTGTCTGTAGCCTCAATGACACACATTTAAAACAAGTCCTAACATAAGCCAAACGGTACACTTGTAGGTTTGGTATTTAGAACTCCATCATAATAATCTCATCAAGATATATTTTGGTGTCATTTTGTATATATTACCTCTAGTGGCTGAGTATTCAAAGGAGACCAATCTGTCTCTTAATATATTAATATATATTATAAAGTTTGCTGTGGTGAACAGACCTTAAATAATTCAAATTATTTTAAAAGGGATTAAGAAGACTTACAGCAAATCTACAAAACCCAGTGGCCTATTTATGCAAGGTGCGTCACTTTTTTATTGTACTTTGCCCCTCATTCACTGCAAACTTCTTTCTGTTTTTTGCACTTTAAAAAATATTATAATTTCATGCAGCAATGATAAACTGTGGCGTTAAGGGCAAAAATATCCCAAACCTATAAAGTTAAAAAAAGATAACATGTGAAAAAAAGGATTACACTGCTTTATTTCATTTCTCTTGCATTCTCCTTTTAACTGATTACACCATATTTAAGGTTGTCCTGGTAAATAAGCCATCAACTAAAACAATCTAGACTTTGGAACTCACCAAAATTTTTGTTAAAAGATTTGCTGCAACATTAAGTCAAATACTGTCAAACTTTCTCTGTGTAACATTATATTTAGCAGAAAATGGGTAACCTCAAAATACCAAGTCTGACCATAAACATACATTTTTAAAATCACTTACATTTAACAGGTTTTTAAATTATTGATAAGAGGTAAAGAAGTCGACTTCAATATGACAGCTGACCAATTTTCACATTTATATACGAGCTCGTTTTTTTTCTATACTGCATGAGGTTAATACCTTTAAAGACAGTATTCTGTATATTTATTCCTTCTTTATTTCACATGCCTTTATTTATATTGCTCTTCACATTTACATCAATTAAGCTGTCTGGCTGAAGAGAAAATTACAGGGGTTTGGACAAATGATAACACTGCCTGGGGATCTTACAACAGTCACCTTTAATTTACATAGTGTGACATTTATACTAGAGAGTGGATATTGCTATCTGCTATAAACTGCAAAGTTAGTCTACACTATGGCCTACATTTTATAGTGCTTTCAAAAAATGCAAGCTATTGTATCCTACAGAGTTCTTCATGATTGCAGGTGAGGCTGGCCACATGACTAACAGGTCAAAAGACTGCGCTCTCCTATCTTTTTTTTCTGCTCTTCCATTGAGAAGATTATAATTGTATATAAAAATGTGCAGAACTTTACGTTTTTTTTACTTCTAAAGCAGTGGTATGGCCATAGTAATACTGATTCCGCTTTATGAATGGAGCCCATTGTTTAAATCTTCTTACAATAAAAAAAAAAAGAATCTGCTTAAGCACTCCTGGCAGTGTTATAGTTTATCCAACTTTAACTGGATTGCTTGGTCTGCATGTAAATGTGGAAAGAATAATAAATAATTGAATGCGAGACATAAAAAGTGGAATTCATACTGATATATAGATAAAACCAAATACTGGTTTTATCTATATTAATTGCACATAGTTACCAGAATACAATATATATAATACTCTATAGATTAAACTCTAAAGACTTGTGGCTATTTTCAACCTATGTAACAATTTTTTTCCTGATGTTAGTCTTATAAGTTTAGAGTTTCTTCATCCTGAAGTTTGAACGCAAATCTAAGTTTTAGATTTGATTTCTTTAGTGCTTATTAGTTGTTAAAACCTAATGTGGTCAGAACTCCCCGTGTGAATGGAAGAATGGGGGGCACTAAGCATGAAGACTGCATAACTGCAGACGAGTGGACACAGCCCAGCAAGTTCCCCTTCACATAGAAATTTAAACAAGAGCAGACAGATAGGGAAAGTGCCTTAAAAACGTGTACATGAACTATTAATTTTTTGTTGATACATCAGCCCCACTGACATTACAGTGAGCTAGCTCAGCTTACAAATGAAGAAAGATGACCTCCAGTAGATATCAGTTGTCAAGACAGACTGTTGGAAACACTAGGATACTGTATCATTATGGCTACAGAATATGTAAAAATGTGAGATAGGGTGACCAGATCATGCCTTTAATCAAGGCTACTATGGTCCAGTGAGATGAACAGCAGCATCTAACGTGCTCTCAGTTTGCCAAGTCACCGCCTTTGCAAACCATACATCTCTCAGATCAAATTAATGAGCTGATAACTCTACTGTAAAGCTTATAGAGTCAAAAACATTAGCTTTCAGTATTAATGGTGTCCGAACTAAAGATATCTCTAAAGGAATTAGTCATCTTCTTCTTTTCGTGTTTCTAGTGCAGTAAAATAATCTTAAAGGGACATTCACACATTTTGCATACGAGTCCTTTGCTTTTGCTATAGTTTTAGAGACATTAATCTGATAGCAGCTTACAGATTTTGTATGCTCAGGACGTGGGGCAATTACAGGAGGAATCTCATTATCTTCTTCCTCCTCTTCTTCTTCTTCTTCTTCTTCTTCTTCATCCTCTTCTTCTGATACTGGAGGAGCTAAAGGAGGCTCTGATGCAGTCTTTGTGTTCTGGAAAAAAATGTGTAAATAAAAAAAGGTCAGACCACCCAAAATGTATATTTTAGTTATAGGTGAAGCCTGGTGGGGTATGTCATCATGAGAGATGAAGGCAGGTTTTCCTTTGACATGTTTCGTTCAATGACTTTCTCAAAAATCACCTTACTTCTTATATTTCTTTAATACTCAAACAACACAATTTTCCTGACATTTAGCCCTACTCTGTTCCTGTTCATCTGGGTGACTTGGGTCTTCCTGCCCACATCTGAGTGTTTTAGTTTCTCCTGTTGCATCCTCCATGATATAAAATAAATACAAAATCCAAAAGGTGCATGGGATCTCCTCAAAATGACATATAGACCCAGGGACGCAAGAGTCCCCATGAGATCTAAACAAATCCCAAGGTGGTTTATCTTTCCAGCACTTACCAAAACCAGAAATGTCAGATTTATGTGGACAGACCACTTCAAGAGGTCAACAAACAGAGCTGACAAATAATTACAATGCCTAGTAATCCCGTTACCAAACAGTAATTACAAATAACCAGCTATGCCCAACTGATAAATTACAGGTATTTTTTATGCATATTTTATTACAAAGTGCTTTTTGTTAGGTCAGTTTGGAGCAAGTTGGGACTCTGACCACAAGCAACTACACACCTATAGGAGAGCTTTACATCACTCCAGTGTTACTTCTCAAGTGTCTGTGTTTCCAAAGCTATATGGAACTATTAATTTAAGTTGTTTTTTTTTAAAGGTGAAAAATCAATTTGCATATTTTGCCATAAAGAATGATAATTGTTTTAATTAAATGACACTGACCCTTACTTACACCCCATATATTTGAATAATAGGGGCTTGTCATACAGCTCATACCAAAATCACAATCAAAATAACAAACAATTCAAGCACACATGAATTGAGAAAAAGTTTTAGTTGCCAACTCTATTTAGCACATCCAACAGTTCTGCTGTGGCTGGTTGGTTGAATCTTCTACTGTATATTTCACAGAAACCTAAGCAACAAATTATATTCACCTAACAAGTATGAGCAACAAGTGCTCACATTCTCCTTTCTGGGTTTTTAACTTACTTTATATTATTGAGAATGTGACAAGAGGTGCAAGAACCCCGCTGTAGCAAAAGGGTTCAGCCCTATGAAGGAAGGAGCAATGCTGGTAACAATTAGGGGATATCTCTCCATTCAAAGTCCCAAAAGCTATAGGAAGACAACTGGCAATTGATTTCACTAATAACTATGTAATAACGTTATAGAATTTAAAAACAGGGTCTGTCCTGCTCATTTGCTTCAGGCCCGATTACAGATTGTTAGAAAAGATGATGACTGTACAGAGAGACTGCTCGCAATAGAGATCATCTTGTAGAATGCACAACACTTAACTAAAACATTTTTTCCCCCAGAGTATTCAAAACAGTTTCAAACAGTCTCATCCAATGTTTATGACTTGTTTAAATGTTATATGGCAAAACTGGATCTTATATTATCAACACAAATTCAACATTTTTGTACAATTCCACTTGAACATGCTTGATACTTCAATTTGATTTCAGTGTGTGTAGGCAAATGCAAGACTGTTGGATGAATATAATTGACTCTGCTGCACAAATAATTGGGTGTGTATACCCTTAAAGATCCTATGTCTTTCTACATGTGCAGCATACATTCTTTTCTTTCGCCTAGTTATACAGTCACCCCTGTATACAGATTTTAAAGCTGCTGCCACAGGAATATGTTATGCATGAGGCAGAAGCATGGTGCATACCAGAGGAATTTTCTTGTGACTGCTCCCTTATTAGCCTAAGAAAAATAACCCACTGACAAGGTGTATATTCCATTTAAATACCAACACCTGGTAATCCTGTTACCGAACTGGCACACAAAAGCATTGTGTATCTTTGTATATTACCACAGGAACTTATGCAGCTTGCAGAATACATAGCAAGCTTTGCACATGCCAGGTCACAATGACGCTAACAAGATCTATTAACATGTAACACAATAAAATGTTAGTCCTTTCTTGAGCCATTATTGCGGTTTGTACTTTGCAGTTCTGATTATTGATAATAAATAAATAGCTGAGAAGTTATAAAAAAAAAAATTTGAAATAGATTTACAACTTACCAAAGAGTGAGCAGCAATATATCCATGTGCACTTTTATCTGCAATAATAAAACCAGCACTAATAAGAAATAACATATCTAAATGTTCCCCTTTTATGATAATTCCACAGAATTCCTGATGCTGGATAGACACGTAGCAATACGACTATTCAATATATCAACTGTTTTAATGATAGACGGCATCCTTCAGAAACTATTGCTCTAAATAACTTTTTAATATACAAAGCATCCTGGGCAAAACTCAGTAAAATCTGACTACATTTTGTCTTTACTGTGCTTTTTGAGTGAAAGATTATGTAAACCAACTTTTACGCGCCTATTGTTTCGTTTTAGTGTATAGCCAGCATGAGATAAATTCAGTCTGTAGAAAATGGTGTCAATATTCCTAATGACTCTGCTCCAACAAAAAAGTGTCAGTATAAAAGTAAATCACAGGAATCAACGTGCACTGACATCCCCTTATAATGCAGAGTTGAATTTATTGTAGTTACAGCATTCAAACTGTAACCTTCATAAAATAGTCTGTTATTATTAAATGTGCCATAATGTGATATTTAAGGTCACACTAAAGTCAGGAGTTAAATCTTAAAAATATATTCAAGTACCTTAACTATTAACACAAATATATTATTTGTGTAGATCCTCAAATCATCTCTGAATTCATGCTGAATTATTTCTGGAGGGTCTGAATTTCTACTGAATTTCTTTCTGAAGATCCTTCTTTCTGGAGGGTGGCTATGTTCGTTCCCCATGGTCCCAGTATGTGGTAAAGTAGCCACCACTCCAAGCTCACTCCCATTATGGACTACAATCTGACATTTAGTTTACCAATTTGTATTGAGATTGTAGTCCATAATAAGAGTGAGCTTGGAGCGGTGACTACTTAACACACACACAGGGACCATGGGGAACAAAAGTAGCCACCCTCCAGAAGTAAGAACAGTGTAAGCACCAATTCAGAGATGATTTGAGGATCTACAGCTGAGTAATACACAAATAAGATACATTTTTGATAATGGTTAACCTCTTGCCGTCCGCCCGTAGTAGAAAAACGGACGGACGACACTGCTGCATTGGCGGGTTGACGGCATTTTTTTTCTGCTCCCGCGCGCCCCCTAGCGGGCACGCACGGGCAGAAAAGACCCGTCCAAAGCGAACACCCGGTACCGGGTGTTTCACATAGAGGCGATCAGCGGGTCCATAGCCCGCCGATCGCCTATATGTGCTCGTTTGCGTCCGCATCCCCCAACCCGCAGATCTCTGCTTCATCAGCTTCTTTTGGGGTCCACAGGTGACTTTAGGGGTCCTAGAGACTCCTAATGTCTCCATAAAGAGGACCTGTCAGTGTGCCTTTGCTATTATATAGGGGATTGTTATCCCACTATATAATAGCAATAACAATAAGTGCAAAAAAATTAATATAAATAAAAGTCACATATAAAAAAGTAAAATAAAATAAAAGTCAGATATAAAAAAAAGGGGAAAAAAAACCCCAAAATGTTTAACTCCCCCACCCCCACGTTTACGCGCCTATAAACGTAAATACGCGTCCGGTGCCCCAGCGCGCAAAAATTACAATTGCGCTACACATGTTACATATCGCCGCGAACGTCGCAGTGAGAGCAATCATTTTAGGGCCATCAATCACTGATAACACTAAACTGATGAGCGGTAACAGCTTTTAAAGCGTCGCCTATGGCCAATTTTGGGTATTATCATTTTTTGAGGTTTTGCGCGCGCACGCAATTTTAAGGCTTGACATGTTTGGTGTCTTTTTACCCGACGTGACCCCGTCTTTTATATTTTACCAAAAAATTGGGTAATAATAAATGTTTTATCATTTAATATAGGGGAAACTGTTTTTTTTTTTTTAATTTCGGTGATTTTTCCTTAATATAGTAAACAAATAAAAACCCCAGTGGTGAATAAATACCACCAAAAGAAAGCTCTATCTGTCCCCAAAAAAGGGTATAAAATTCATTTCAGTACAGCGCTGCATGACGGAATAAATGTCAGTCAAAGTACCGCAGCGCTGAATACTGAAAAAATGGCCTGGATGGGAAGGGGGTTTAACACCGCGGATGTCAACTGGTTAAAGAACTTGAATGCATTTTAAGAGTTAATGCCTGTGTTTATTGTCACTCTAATACACATATTACATTTTTGTATCATTCTTTATTTTAAAAACATAAATTTTATGTTGGGAGCTCTATGGTACTGTTTGTAAGGAATGCTGAACTCTTACAGATTAGAAATTTACAGATTGCTTTCTCTGCTAGCAGCGAAGAAGGGTATGTGCCTTCATTCAGCTCTGCTTCTCAGCGCTAGCCTTAACATAGACTACTCACATGATAGTAATTATAAAGACTGGTGCTTTGGGAGGGCTTTTGGAGGATCTGTTGTCTCAAACTGCTAGTTGAAAATATTCATTTTAAGCGTTGCATATACATATTTCACATTTAATATATTTTGTATTTTACTGTATTTGTTACTACACAGAAAAACAACAAAAGTTAAAATTTTGGCATAAAGGCATATGTACACCATAATTTTGTTATGGTGCGGCGCGAAGAGCGTGGATGCGGGCGGGCGGGCGGGTCTGGCAGCCACGAGTGTGAGGTGGGGAGGAGGTGCAGCGTGTGTGGAGCTGTGTACAGGGCCAACTGATCGGAAGCCGATTAATCGATTATTGAAAAAGTTGACAACTTTTTCAATAATCGATTATAATCGATTATGTCGATTAGTTGTTGCAGCCCTATTTCTTAGTAGAATTGTTTTGTAAAAACAGCTTATTTAAGCAGCAGACAAATATACCTCCAGAGGTAAAGCTCATGTACTTCTGGTTGTTGACGGTCTCTTTGGAATCATAAAATTTGAGGACATCCAACACAGCCTGAGGGTTCTTCTTCTGCTCCAGTTTGGTGATGTTTGAGGTTTGAAGTAGCCTTGCCCATTGCTCTGGGATTCCCTGTGGGAGAGAATACAGAGAACCATGATTGTCCCATTCTCTAACAACCAACATAACACAGTTTCAGAATACACTGGGAGAAGGTTGGATTGAGACCTTGGTTTTGCTATGAAGAAATCACAAATACAATCATTCTCTATTAAAAGACAAAGCTAAAACCAGGATCCCAGATGAAGGAAAAAAAGAAAAAAGTTATGGCTGTGTGACGAGGTGCATGAGTCATCTGATCTGATCTGGTGTCTTCCATGAAAGATGACAGAAGGGTTAGCAGTGGTTATGGCGGTAAAGTGCAGACAAGATAATTCATACAGTGAAGGAGTTAAATGTACATGATTAATCTTCATGAGGCTA